CGAAATTCAGCCACATTTATGCAAAACGGTCATGAAAAATTTCAACAAAAGAGTGCATATGTTCCAGCAAAGCCGTGGAGGCCATTTACCTGATATGCTATTCCATATATAACCTTATACTGTATACTTTATGAATCAATAATAAAAATTTAATTTTTAATTATTAACCTGTGTTTTCTATCAAAATTACTTCTTGCGTGAATTTTGGGACACACTTTACTAAAAAGTAGATATATTGAAATACTAATAAAAATTGTTATTCTGTGTGAGAAGGTTCTAAGTGATTTATTTTCTTTCTCTAATTCTCAAATTCCTTCAAAATTAAGTATTTATTTTAAAATTAGGTCATGATACAAAAAGAGAAGACATTGTATCACAATTATTTGTAGGAACAAACACTGTCAAAATTAATTTGATTGGAAATTTGAAGAAGGAAAATTATCAGATGAATTGAAAAAAAAATTTTTTGTAATAATCTTAAAAAAACTCACAAATGGTGTACTAGTTTGGCTGTGAAAATTCTGATCTCTTAGCATGGAATCTGGTACTCTGACATATACATAAGCCACAATAAATTACAGTAAGTTTAAACAGCTTGGATGGTAAAAACAAGTTGGCTTACATGTAGCAATTCCATTGCAATAACTGATATTACCTGTGGAACAGGGCTGCTCAGAAGAAAAGAAACATTTTGCTACAAGACTAATTAAGATAATGTGATGGGGGCTCTCTTTAGATTTCTCACTGATAATCACTCAACTACAAGAGAAATTAGCTGTAATTATCTTGGGTGAATTCATACATATTCTCAGGGGCCCCATTAATATATGCACTTCAAGAGTTTCCAGTCTGATCATTTTTGAGGTACATGACAAAAATTTATTAAATGTCCTAACAAGGACATTTCCAAACATGTTAATCATGTTTAAAATATCCAGTAAGTACTGTAAAGCAATTCTACTACTCTACTAAAAGTCGAAGCACTTAAGGTAAAAGAAAGAAAACATATTTAACTGCCAATATACTCCAAGGTAGGCTTAGGGACAGCTACCACTGATTGCTTCTAAAAAGTTGAACTATGGGTAAATTGGGCAAGCCCATGGGTCTTAAATAGTTATTATATTGGCTTATAAGGATGATGTCCAGTTGTGATTTTTCCCACTGCTATAATACTGGTAAGTGTAAGAATAACATGAACTCTAAAAAAATCATCATAATTTCTATTAGAGGAGAAATTTGGAGAAATTGGATGGAATTTCATTTTACTTGGTTTTTCAGTGCTATAAAGTGTGCCATCTCAAAAACAGTCTACTGCATGCCCCCTACTAGCTATAGCAAGTGACCTCAAGGAAGTCACTTAACTTTGCTGAACTCTGGTTTTGTCATCTGTAAAATAAAGTTGCTGTGAGGATTAAATAGAACTATATATTAAAGTGTACCTTCAGTTAGTCTGTTAAGCAACTCCTGAATACATCAATGGTATTGTTCATAAGAGTTGCCCCTGTTCCTGCTCCCTCATATCTCTGTGGGAGCATCCAATACTGTGCAATGTGATGTGGGGAAAACAAGGGAGGCATAAAACAATAGTGGGCATAGAAATCAGCATAATTTACATGGAGATTGTTAAAGAGACTTATGTAAATGTGGGAGAGATAAAATCAAATGGGAGGAAGAAAAGGTCATATCACAGAATAAAAAATTTGTTCTGATTGTGTACAGTCTAAGTATCCCACTGAGCTCATCAAGCAATGGTGGACTCAATAGAAAGTTGGCTCCTGATCACTGGGAATGTTTAATCCAAACTTGGATGACAACTCATTTGAGAAACAGAAGAAGGAATTTCTAAGGCTCTCTGACATAAAATAAAAAATTATACCAGAGAGTATAGAATGAAGTATGAAGGCATTCTTGTTTGTGTATTACTTTCCTACTGCTGATATAATATTTAGTGGCTTAAAATCACACCAATTTATTCTCTTATAGTTCAGGAAGTCAGAAGTCTAAAATTAAAATGTTGGCAAGGCTGTGTTCTTTCTGCAGATTTCAGGGGAGAATTCATTTCTTAGCCTTTTCAGCTTCTGAAAGTTGCCCACATTTCTTGGCTTATGGCCCCTTTTTTACATAACTCTATACTATTCTTTCTGTCATTACATTTCCTACCATTTATTCTGTTCCTGCTGTCTCCCTCACTCTTATAAGGACCCTTGTGATTATACTGATGCCACCTTGATAATCCAGGATAATCTCCCACACCTCAAGATCCTTAACTCAACCATATCTGCAAAGCCCCTTTTACCATGTAAAATAACAGATTCACAGATTCCAGGGATTAGGATGCAGACATCTTTAGGGAAATATTATTCAGCCTACCATAAGTACAGCAGCTCAGAGACTATCATTGGGACCAGAAAAGGCAGAACATTGTTTGAGGAGGTGGTACAACATGAAGGGTATGAAGATAAGGAGGAGGTCATCCTAGGTTGGGAAGAAAAGGTCATATCACAAAACCAGGTAAAGGGATCCAAATTTGGTAGAATGGTAATCAGGAGTTACTGTAAGTTCCCAAGTATGCACTCAAGTCACATTATAAAAGCAACATTTTCAGGATGATTGGTCCAGCCAAGTACAAGTGGCAGAGGGGACTCCAAGAAAAACAAAGGCTAAATGTTTATGTCTTCTCTGAAGCATCACTGGTGTCTAAGCTGCTTTCAGCATACCTGAAAAAAAAATTGGCAACTATTTCAAAAGAGAAAGAAAAGGCCAGGGCAGAAACATTTTAGCCGCTGTCCACTTAGAGGAGCACAAGCTACAGACAATAACCAAGGGCCTCTCATAGTCTTTGGCAAAGGAAGACAATTTCTATGAGCTCAGGGCACTTTTAAAGAAAGATAGAGAAAATATACCAGTCTTACCTCATTGCCACATTACTTCCATCAATGACAACTGGCCTCAAATTGTCACTGCTGTCTATTTCATCTTCAAGAGACAGTTCAGGGCTTGCAATCTCTCTGGAGCTGGGCCCCCGAGGCACTAACAGACTCAAGTTGACCTGCCCTTCTGAATCACCTTTGTTCCCAAGTCTGACAAGCTCTGCCAATACATCATTGATAAGTGATTCTGGGCCCAGCTTGTTCAGCACTGATTGAATCTGTTCCTCTGCATAGCCCAGCTTTAGAGCAAAATCCACCTTGGCTTGGTATTCTTTTTCCAAGTCAACCTTCCCATCCTGTAGAATGCTGCTCTGGGAGAAGCTTGGACGATCTAGGCAGGGTGATCTACAGAGCTGGCGGTGTGGCTTGGAGGGAATCTCCTTTTTCTTCAACTGAACAACTCCAGGTTGGCAGCTATTGTCACTGCTGTTGCAGCTCTTAAGGCTCATCTGTTCAGGGTCACTCTCAGAGCTCATACACTCTTCAGAATCAGCATTGCCCTGTTCTGTGCTGTCTTGGTTAGGTTGCTGCTTCTCTTCTTTGGAGGCACTCTTCTTCATTTTTGGTGTCTCCACTGCAGCTGTGGCCGTCATCCCGTTTAGTGGGTCTGAGATCTAGTCAACTCTTTTTCTTTTTAGCCTGCTTGGAATCCACGTAGTGTGGCATTTCTTTGTGATACAGTGTGGTAGTAGTGGTGGTGCAAGAGTTTATCTGTTTGGTTTGGTATGTTCAGATGTTACCAATCCCTGCAAATGAACACACATATCATAATCATATTTAGTAAAATTCTGGAAAAGCAATTTAGAATATAGTGATTTCTTCTTAAGAAATTACAGGTTGTCTGACATTTTATTTTTCTACTTAAAATAGTTGGATTCCCCTTGCATAAAAATATAGAGTTTTAAATTATGTAATAATTCTAGACATATCTTTCAGTGGTGGAAATAATGCTATAATCCCTCCCCCCCCACACACACACACAAAATCACAGCCAAAGTTAACAGCTTATCACAACTTAGAGAAATAGAAACATGGTGCTTCAACAGGGTGCAAAAAAATATATATACTAGAGGCCCGGTGCACAAAAATTTGTGCACTCGGGGGTAGGGGGTCCCTCAGCCCAGCCTGTGCCCTCTCACAGTCTGGGACCCCTCGGGGGTGACCACTTGCTGGCTTAGGCCTGCTCCCCGGGGGATTGGGCGTAAGCTGGCAGTCAGACATCCCCCTGGCAGCCCGGCAGCCCTCGGGGGATGTCCACTTGCCAGCGGGGAGCAGACCAAAGCTGCAGTCAGACATCCTTAGCGCTGCTGAGGAGGCAGGAGAGGCTCCCACCACCACCGCTGTACTGGCAGCCGTCAGCCTGACTTGTGGCTGAGCAGAGCTCCCCATGTGAGAGCGCCCTGACCACCAGAGGGCAGCTCCTGCATTGAGCGTCTGCCCCCTGGTGGTTAGTGTGTGTCATAGTGACCAGTCATTCCCAGTCTTTCTGCTGTTAGGGTCAGTTTGCGTATTACCCTTTTACTATATAGGATAGAGGCCTGGTGCA